TTCTGTTCATCAATTATCCTCGATATCACTCTCAGCTTCTATTCTATTTGACCATGCATCGTGATACAATCGCTAACGAAACTTGTGTAGAGAAACCCAAACCACCCGTCGATGAGGTACCCTATTCCAAAACATCGCGTCCCTATCAATCGACTTCCGGGGTCCCTTCTGCCGCAGCATACTTGCCCACGATAATCAAGTGCGTCCGTGTTCGCGGCCCGAGGGTGGACGAGGTCCTCCCACGCGGTCCAACGCCGCGGTTTTCAGTTTAGCATTTCTGGACGTTCGACCCCCGAAGGTTCGTCGGTGGCAGGCTCTCACGGTCACTCGATTTTCGGGGACGTTCAAAGTGGACGGATAGAATGATAATCTGGGAGCAGCTTGGTAGTTGGTAGGTATTGATCTGTCGGTCGGGGTGTTACTGTGTGGTATGGTTGGTCGGTGGGCTGGATAGGTGGGTGGTTGTGCCATGGTGGGCGAGGGTGGAAGCGGCACCAAGAGGAGGGAAGGGTAGCGAAGGGAACAGGCGGGGAAAGGGGGCGGCGTCCGCTCGGGGAGGTGGAGACAGGAATAGGGGATGAGAGGTCGGGTCGGGACGCTGGTAGCTATAGCTTTACGCTCTGCTCTCTGTCTCGCCCTCTATCCATCTCGCCTCCTCTGCTCTATTCCGCTCCGTCTCCCTTGGTTAGACTAGTTCATCCTCTATCTGTGCTAATTTCGCAGAGTCTTGCTCTGCTCCTGTTTCGTGTTCCCTCCGTTCCATCAGGACCATTCTATTTTCCTTCTATTCACGTTTCCCCGAACGCCTTTTTTCTTTCTGCCTCTGCCGTTAGTTTCTGCCACTTTGTCTCTCCGCACCCTCTCTCCTACCCCTTTTTCCGCGCCGTTCTCGTCGCTGTCCCTCTCGCGGGATGCCACTTCGTCTCTCTTCCATTTTCATTTCCATGCTGGTCCCCACGTTTTTTTTTCCTCCCCTAGCACCTACTCTTCCTTCGCCCGTTGCACTCCTCTGTCCGCGCGTGTCTCCGTCCTATTTTCATTTTCATCTTTCCCTGTTCGCGCCGCCTGTCTTCGTCCAGCTCGACGCCGACGAGGCTCGTCTCTGTCGCGGCGTCGCTCTCTGTCGAGAGTGTGCGGAACGAGAGGAACGATTATGGGGCGAACGGGGTGGCCTGCGGGGTTCCCCGCAGGATATAGGGTGTCGGGGAGAGATTGGCAACAGGGTATACGGCGCTCCTCGTTTCGCCTGTTCGCCTCTTCATCCCTCTCCCTGATTCTCGCTCCATCCACCGTGTCTCTAACCCCGTTGGTCTCTTTCCTTCCACCCACTACTCGTCTCTGTCTGTTCCTGTCTATCTATCTCTATCCCTCTACCTTTCTACCTCTCTTTACCGATTTATCTATCCGTCTCTATCTCTTTTTACCGATTTATCTATCCGTCTCTATCTCACCCCCTATCTACCTGTATCTACCTAACTCCGTCTCTCTATCCAGATATCTGCATGCCTCTATCTATCTATCCACGTATCTATCCTTCTCCATCCCACTCAATCCACTCATCTCTATCTATCCACCTATGCGTCTCTATCTCTCTCAATCAACCAATCTACCTACCCCTATCTCTCTATCTATCTACACGTGCACCTATCCCTCTCCATCCTTCCGAACCTACCCATCTATTCGTCTCTGTCGCTTCCTGTCTACCCATCTATCTATCTCTGTCTCTCTGTCGCGGTCTATCTCTCTCGCCACCCTACCGCCGCCTTGCATCCTGCACGACCCCGCGAACTTCGGATTCGTGTGCACTGCGCCGCCACCGGATTGGCGGGCTGCGACCCCGCATGAATAATTCGGTAACCTAATAGTTTCTTGAGCAAAGAGCGCCGGATCGCTGGTGGCGATCTTGTTTCGCGTATCGGACAACCCCGCCGATCTTCGGACGCCTTCGGCTGGCGAAGGCTACAGGGCGAACAGGAGAGTCGTACAGGGATGAATCGAGCTCTTCATTGACGCCCCGAATCGATCGATTCCGAGCCGTGGAAAGAGCCTCTGTAACTTGTACGCTACTGTACCCGGGGTGTTTCGTGAAATTATGGGTACGACTCGAAAGAGGCGGGGTGCGGGGGGAGAGATGGGGTGAATTTAGGGCGCGGAAATAACAAAGAAAGTTCTCCAGTGAACTCTCGTCCCGTCTGACCTTGTTCTCGGGGGCGGTTTTCGGTGTTTGAATTATTTAGAAGTACGGTCGAACCTTCGCTATGCGTACCTCCGTTGTGGGAATGTTTTAATTTTCTATTATTCGATGAAAGCATACCCTGGAATTATTTTTCGCGTGGGAGGGTGCGTGTTGTTATGGGTACTTGATTTCCGTTTAGTGACTGTTAAATTATTGAAAGCTAACGGTTGGAAAGTTATAGGTAGAGGTCACTTAAATAGCCTCAGACATGGAACCAGTTATACCTATGTGATTAATAGATTGCGGATGGTCGTGAAAAATTTATATTTTCACAGATACAGAAAAATAATTGAAACTTAAGTGAAAGTATAACGTGCATATTATTGTTGATATTGTATATATTTTTTCATTTGTCCACATTCTCATACGTTTCTCAATGTTTTCATTTCACATAAACGTATAAACATCCGCAGTTTAACGATTAAGAAACTTGTGGGATCCAGCGGTAAAGGTAATCTGAAATTCATGAATGTTGGAGGAAATCCTTATTATTATATTCATCCAAAAATCGTATCGTTAAATAGGTGAGTGGGTTACTCAATATCGTTGAGATATAACCCAGGTAATTAAATTTTCGTGCCTAGCAGCAATTACCAGTCATAGTCGCAATTAGCGTTATCTTATAGCTTTATAGTCCACGACTCGCTACTCCATGACGAAAGGGGTCGATAAATGCAGCGATACGAATGAAGACCACTCTGAACAGGTGTTGAAATTATTTCTCAATAACCTTGCGCTGTGGTATAGTATTTGCTTTACCAGTAACTAATTTTTACCCAGTCGTAAAGTATTTAAACGTTTTATTATTCATCTTGCTACCGCTCCGCCCCCCCCAAATCGATTTCTCTGGATTATGAATTAAGAGGGGATGAAAATCGTAGCTATATTCAATTTTTTTTTCGAAAACAATTTACTTAATAGAAGATCTATTTGCTGGAGCTTGACTCCGCCATCGTTATTTCATTTAAAAGATCTATAAGTCATTTTTCTGTTAAATCAATCGTTGTATATAACTATAATTTTCATACATCCAAGATGGCATGACACTTAAAGAAAATGAAATTTATAAGCTGCAACCTTTTTGTACTGCGTTCTGGCACAGTCGAAGCATATACTCCGTACCTAATAAATTAAACAAACATAGTCTTGTAAAGTGGCCAGTGGTATGAATCAAACTCCTTTGCTTTTACTCACTCGCGAAGTCATTGAACGTCTTTTATTATTCGTCGGCAACCCTTCCTCGTCGATAAATCGGGTAAAACTGCGCTTGTAAAGTGCAAAGTTGTATAGATCAAACTGTATTTACGAATCATGAATCTGTTAGTCGGATGGGGCAGAAATTGTCGAGAACGGCGTCGACGAGAGATTAGCGCCGACACAGATGCAGCCTAAGAATTCGCTGCGCAAACAGTGGCGGAATAACCGCGGCGAATAATATCCGATACGCGGGGATATTTTCTTTCGCGGGGCCGACGTTCCTCTGATGTCTATTTTCTGGGTCCCTCGCCATCAGCCACTCGATGAACCAAATTTCTGCACCGCATCAAAGCGACTCCCGTCATCGACTGTGTCATCGAGTTGAGCCGCCTTTGAAGATCAGTGTCGACGCTGTCAATGGCAAACTTTACTTTGGTGAAGCGCACCGTCTAATCATAGCTTGCTATGCGTCCAATAATAGGGTCCTAGGTGCCCAATAATTGACGAAAATTTCTCCACAGGTCAGCGGGGTGGTCGAACTTTATCCTTTGACGGATCGTCGCGTTCGGTAACGCTGGTCAAGTAGAGTGTTTAGACAATGAGAGGAAAGGAAGACGATTAGGCGCTCTTTAACCCCTTTGGTGCAGTTTCGTCGACGACATGCTACCTGGGGGTTCAGCTGAATGGTTCTGGCTGATTCACTTTCATAAGTAGATGTAAAGTTCATATATAATTAATGGTGATTATGAAAACAAACGTCTCATAATCGAGTAACGTCCAATAGATACCAGAATTAAGTACTTATATATTATAGTAATACATATATGAAGTCAATAGATAGAAAATTCTCAAATTAAATTCACAATTAATTTTTGTACATATTTCATCAGTTCTTTGTTTCATTATTTAGGTAAATAACCTACCTACGTATTATAGTTGCATCCGACCCATTTACGATAACAATAATTATTACAGATTCGATCACCGAACAAATATTCAAAGTAATCGAACTCCTGGTTCTATCGAACGAAGTCGCCGCCATTGTGAATCTCCCGCGTGCAAAGTTTCGCTCGTAAAACGGCTCGACGACACGATGCGAATGACGTTCGATAACATCGCGTTCTTTGTGTCAGTATTTGCCACTTGCGGGGGAATATGGTTCTCGCTCGGGCTGTACAGATTATGAATTTTGGTGACGGGGTTGCGCATCAAGTTAATCCACCCCTGGCTCGGGTGCGAGAATGATGCATCCCCCTCGGATGATGTAATCATTCGTTCGAGGGGCGATAGAATAGCCGAAACGAAAATTACTTTCTCGAATGTGCGAGCAGCGATGAGCAATTTAAGGGGGTAGAGAGGTCGATTTCGTCCGGACGGATATACAAGACAAACATTGTGATTTGAGCGCCGATTGGAGGTTGAAATTACGTCTGCGTTGGGGTCTGATGCAATTAAGGACAATTAAAGATGAAAATTAAACAATCGAATGGAACCACTTCTCGTTGGAGTGGTATGCTCGGCCGTCTGCACTGCTCCGTTTCTTTCATTTCGACGAACGCTCAAGCAATTTGTAACGATTATTGTTATTGAAAGCCTCTAGATATTCTAAAATCTGAGTACAGTACCCACGTACGCGATATAAAGACAAGTAATGTAACATGAAACAATAAAAATTAATTGTGAGCACCATCGAAGTCATCTTCAACTCGGATGTTCTTTTTTTTTTTCGAAATTCGATTCACACCTGCGAAATACCAGCTTAGTTATACTTGTTGCTGCGGAGGATTGGCAATCTCCTACAGAATTACCTAAAAACAATAAAATCAGTGCCAAATTTCATGTCTATACTTTATAGATTGTTACTTTTGGCGCATGTTCAATGACGCTTACCACCGAAAATATAAAATCTATACCAACCCCTTCGAACGTGATTGCAACGTACGTGTAGATCGTATGCATGAGGACAGTTTCCTCAGGTCCTTTAGCCTCTTCAAGGAGTCTGATATATACGTGATATATACGTGAGTTTAGTTTATAAATTTTCAATATAGTAATACGACAATATAGACCTAGAATTTTGAATAAATGTCAACTATTATATTTACAAATGGCGTAATACAAAAAAACAGCTTAAATAAAAGTGGCCCCCGTTAGAATAATAAGGTTAGAACAATTCCCGATTTCAGATCGAAAGGGTTGAATTGAAGGGAGCACATGTTTACCGTGTTTGCTTTGCTCTGCACAATAAAGTATTCCAGAGTACTTTCACGGGAGACATAATTCTAGCATCGATAGTGGAGTTTACAGCATTAATTCACTCGTTCGCGACGAGATCGCTACGGGTCTCTGTTAATCAAAGCCCGCGTAAATACAGGGTGTCTCAGTAATCGCAACACAATCTCTAAGAGGGTGATTCTTCACGCGTAAGCGCATCGAAAATATAAAATAACATTATACGTACCTTCTTGGAATATATGACTGAGGGTAGCTTAAAGGTTGTATGATTTTTATTTACGAATGTTAAATTTACTTTAAATAGCCAAAGAATGAATTTCTTTACCACGTAAATAAACTATCGATTTTATCATTTTACAATTTATCATACAAGAAAATTCCATTTAAAATGTTTGGTTCGTTTCCGTTTGATGAATCGTTTCGTTCGACTGTTTTATACTACAATTGCTGAGACACCTAGTGTATCCGCGATTCGCGCAAGGATCGAACATCCAACTGAAATAGCACCGTGCCGCGAATACGAGCGTGTTTGGATATATATTGTATTCGCGCCGTAGCGACGGCGTTTTCGTGAATCAAAATAGCGTTCGGTTTTACGCGTTGCCTGACAGCACTTGGTCACGTGCTTCGTTTAATGGAACGCTCTACGAGTTATTTCAAACTTATGTGTCATGCATTCTAGTTGCGTACAAATATAACCGCCATCGACGGTGTGCACGCGTGCGCGCGTACACGCCATGCTCGCGCCGGGACGATTCCTCATATGCTAACGGAAGAATCAACACTTTCTTGGAAAATGTAGCGCGAAACGTCGAAATTCTCTGCGTTCGATAAATCGCGATCGCCTAAAAGTAGCGTTGGCGCGAACGAGCTGCAAAGATAGAATGCAATCGAGATTAACTTTTAAAGAAAGTTTTAGCCGGAGGTGGGCAATATTTTATTCGAATGACGTAAACATGGAAGCAATATTTGTTCCAAAGTACAATAAACATGATTTAAATTACGAGCAAAAGAGAATAAAAAAGTAACAAGTTTCTCTAATCACCCACAATTTCGATCCATTCGTCCTAAGAAAAATTTTACAAACATCGGAGTAAGTGAACTTTTCAGCGCTTACTTAAAAATACTTGCGGCCTAATTTTCTCACATTCAGAGAATCAACATACTCCTATTATAATTTCTCTAAAACTCCATGGATACCTTCCACGACGATGTTAGAAGCGATTCAGTGAATGTTGATTTTTCACGCTCCAATTGTCCACGAAACATTTCCAATATTCGCCCTTCCTCCGCGTCGTGCTTCCTTTAATTCGCCTAATTCTTCAACGCCTTGGTGGCCAGCAACCGTCATTGAATCGTAATTTTTGTTTCTTCGAAGTTACAATCCCCATTGAAGTTTACAGCGACGTTGGGCGATTTATCCATCGAATTAATTTAATATAACGACCATTACAAATTACTTTCGCCAGCTTGACACCTACGCGGATTCTGAAAGCTAATTACGCCCGGAACGGGAAATAATGGAAGCTCCGAAAGCTATTCATGGTGCTCCGCTGTGTAACGTTCCAAAAGTCCAGTGAAAGATGGTGGGAAAATTAGAATCGACCGAGATATACGCGTCGCGACGAAGTAAAAGGATCGTCGATTAGACAAACAAGATCTTGTACGTGACTTTCAATTCGCCGAACAATATTGGTGGTTTTTAGCCGGCTTCGAAAAGAAGGAGGTTACTCAATGTATATTTTGTTCTTAATCAATTGATCTTTCATGAAACCAAACATCTCTTTCGCTAGAATTGGAAAATTCGTGTTGTAGCGTGACCGTAAAGCATGCTTTTAGAACAATGAACGCTTTCGTTCGATAGTTGGGTCAGCCTGTCTTCAATAGCCGTTGAAGTACCCTATTAAACAGGTATTCCATCCACAACTTCGAGGATAGCTTGCACCCCCCTCGCCCCTAAGTCGATCATAACAAACTGCTTTCAAGGATCATTAATCGGTTCAATCTTTCCTCCGTGCGCAACCTTTCGAAAACGAAGAAACCGTTAAAGCGGGAAACACGATGGAAGATTTGCATAGGAAGCAACTGCGGGAACTACCCGACGAGAGGATTACCCTTTACTTCTCCAACTATGCAGACTCGCGCGACGAAGTTCCGACGGAGTACAAGCGAAGGAGGCTAACTTTGAAGACGGAGGCGAGGGAGGATGACTGATTGTGTAGACTGGCGAGATTCGGCGGAGGGTCGAAGCACCTCACCTCTCTCGAAATAGTCTTATAACTCGATGGCGAGCGTGCCCTAAAAATAGCGGGATTCCGTGGTATTTGTATACGTTTTTCGTTTTTGAGCGTCTGGTCTGAGCGAGCGCAAGGTTGACGCGTCCTCGGAGGGTCTGCTCGAACGTTCTGGCAAAAAATTCGTAGCCGATGGAGAAGAGATCGACGATCGTTTTCGCGTACCTCGCCGACGTTTTCGTCCCTTCTGGCGATCCAGGGACTCCCTTGCCCCCCCCCCCCCCCACCACCACCTCCCCCCCCCTCCACCACCCTCCCCCTCGATGCTGAGCGAAAACGAGCATCACGGTCGGAATTACGGAGGCTGCGGCGAAGTGAATCGGGTCAACTCGGAGGATGGTACCGTGGAATTCGTAACGCGACACACCTGTCCCATGATTTCGAGGCGGAAAACAGGGGCAACTTTCCGTGATGACCACGAGTGTTTACTCGTTGAGGAACGGGAATTCGCGTGGGGCTCTGGACCTTTTGCATATAGACAGGATTCGTATTTATTAAATAGATTTTAGGCAAAAGATGGTTAAACGACAAATTGTGCATGCACGATTCTTTTCATTTCTTGGATACCCTCAGGGGCTGTAGCTATGTTCGATTGTAGCGACAGTACGGGTTTAGCGATCCCGAGGTACCCGAACTATAGGGGGACCAGTGGGCTCCAACGGGCTACTAGCGTACCAAATGAGAGAATCACGGAGAATGGTATCCAAAAAAATGCAAATGCAAAGCAATATAAACAATATAAGCAAGGATACAGCTTCCAAAAGGATACCGACGTGTTTAGAATATTTAATGGGGATGCTAGAGAATTATGAAGAAAGGTGTCTAAGCAAATGCAAATACGAAGAGGTCAGGAAAATAGCAGAAAGGTATGCGATATTTAAAAAATCTGAAGGTGCTTCTAGAAAAGGACTTTATCGAAAATGTGATACGATCAACTGGATAAGAGAGAATTATTGAGAAAGGTATGTACGCAAAGTAACATCAAGGGTTAGAGTATGGCCCAAAGGAACATCAAATTATGGATCAATATGTATTATTCGATAGATGATTTAACGGGCACAACAGCTAGCAGAGAATGCACTTCAGACAATGCGTACCAGGTCAAAACAGAATCAGAATCAGGAAGATCGGTGTATAGAACAACCCTTGCAAAGATGAACCTAATAGAATAAATAGAGTGTTCGTATCACTAGAAAGGAAAACTGCACTTTTCCTCCGACAGAGTTAGTGGATATTGAATTCCAATACGCTTCAACGTAAATATCCAAAGATCATGCTCGGATCTTTAATCGCAAAGCTCAAAACACGAAGGAGCTCTGATCGCTCTCGCCAAAACTCACAGACATCAAATATCCTCTGGATTCCCGATATTAAAGAACAATCTTTGCCAAGTGTCGAATCCAGCGTTTCTTTCTGCAGCCTTTCAAAAGTCGTTGGACATCCACTGAGCCAACATTGTTGAACCCAAAGTTGACAGAGTTTTCTGCCCCGTTCGAATCGCATTAATCGTCGCGTCCCTAATTGAAAGCCTAGCCGAGACCAAACGACACTAGGATTCCTCGCGTGTCATTCGAACGTAGAACGCGGAAAGTCGACGTGGTCGACCGGAATTTTCTCGACGTTCCCCGAAAATGGGGGGGCCTCTCCGCAGCCCCTCTGTTATCAAAGAGTTCGTCTTTTCCTTTAGAAAAGCCGGTGGAACGAAGAGAGTCATGATGGCAGCGAAGAGAGAGGATCCCAGAGAGGGAGGAAGAGCCTCTGGAGAGCAAGTGAGCGTGTACGAGAGAGAGGAGACCAGCTCGTAGTGCCGCGAGTGAGCGTGGGAGAAGGATAGAGTGAACGAGAGAGGGCGTAGAATAGACAGAGAGGGCGGAAAGGCCGCGAGAGAGACATAGAGGGAGAGAGGTGAGGTCCGCCGCAAAATACAAGTTGGTAGGATATCGACCAGCCGGAAGTCTGAGTAGTTGTTGCCATGGAGACGCTCAAGTCAATTTGACCTGGGCCAACAGTCACCGGCATACTGATGCACGATATGCCATCCCATTATTCATATGGTTTTTACGCGGTGGAACATATTTCGCGAAGCGATAGCCACAGCGCCCGCCTGAACCCACTACTTCAGCCTGCTTCAGCCAGAAGCCAGCCAGACCGAATCAGCGCCTCCTCGTGCTTCCAACTTTTCTTCGTCGACCTCTTTCGCACTCGGCCACGGAATTTTTCCTCGACGACACCGGGGAGGGAAACGATCGAAATAGGGGTAATGACGCCGCTGCGTCCCTGAACGACCGATGACTACCGATCCCCATTAACCGGTACGCTATCGATCGCTACCATCGAACGGAAATCGCTCCAGATGCCTGCGATTGTCGGATCGGGTGAAATACGCGACGATGGACACCTTTTTGGCGAGTTTGCGAGAAAAATACGATGCAAAGCTTCCATACTTGCACAGACCTAACACTACAGCATGGAATTTCAACTTTTTATTACCTAAACACTATCGTAAACGTATATCGTTCTACGTGTTTGCACATTTGTACACATAGTCGGAAGACTACTGCACCCAAGTTTGCTACTTCGTGCAAAGTTGCCTTGTTGGCAAACTACGAGCAACTACTTGCGAGTAACTTTAGTCAACTATAGTAACCAAGGTAGTCATTAGTCATAAAGACCCTATAAATTACGCGATAGAAATCAGATCTAACATTAGATCTACGTCTATTATGTTTGCTCAGATATTGGCATAAGAAACCTAAAGGCTGTTACATGCGAGCGATTCCCTGATGAACCGATCGTCACGAACCCTCGCTTATCTATCTCAATTTAGTTTAGCTAAATAGAAATTAGAAATGGAAAGTTCTGAAGTTCAACCAGTCATCCTGTTGGCAATCGATGACGAACTATACTCGCAAGTATCTGTATCTTTGTACGTGGCAGTTACCAATCGCAACGGAGATCTCGATTATCTGAACGCAATTAGGATCAATCTCGAATCGTGATCTGCCTTTCTAATTTTGCAAGCATTTCCCTGATCCACCACTAGTCGCAAATCCTCTTTTGCTTACCTTAGATTGATCTGTACACGTTACACGATCCTATAGCGTGGAAGTTCTTCAGTTTAAGCATATTTATCGTGTTTGTTAGTAATTATAGTCTTCAACGGACCAAGTGGCTATCGGCCATAAAGAAGATTTTGTAAAACACCTAATAGAAAGCAAAATTAAAATGGATT